GCGCGGTGCGTGGCCGCGTTGTGCCCTGTTGCAGCCCGAGCGGGCTGCCGCGCACCAACGAGTCGGTGCTGCGCACGCGCGCCGTCGTGGCCTTCAGCCGGGGCGCCTTCCACGAGCTGTACAGCATCCTGGAGGGCCACGCCTTCGACCCGCGCCACCACAACAAGCTGCAGCAGCTCTGGTTCACGGCGCACTACCGCGAGGCGGAGCGCGTGCGCGGCCGGCCGCTGGGCGCCGTCGACAAGTACCGCCTGCGCAAGAAGTACCAGCTGCCCAAGACCATCTGGGACGGCGAGGAGACGGTCTACTGCTTCAAGGAGCGCTCCCGCAACGCGCTCAAGGAGTGCTACAACCGCAATCGCTACCCCACGCCCGACGAGAAGAAGTGCCTCTCCAAGAAGACGGGCCTCACGCTCACGCAAGTCAGCAACTGGTTCAAGAACCGCCGCCAGAGGGACCGCCCGGTGCCGCACAGAGGGTGAGTGCCAGCTGGCCGTGCCGCGCCGCTCCTTTGTCTTTGACTTGCAGCTCCGGGCCGCGGGCGCTTTGCTCTGCGGACCTTGACTTAACGCGCGTGCAACGAGAACATATCAACGAGAAAAGCATCAAGGGCTATAGTACTGTTACAGGGTAAAGTGTCGGTGTTAGGGCAAATAAACAAACACGTCGCCCCAGTTTGCCTCCCAAACAACTTTTGAAAATATGATTTACGTTACTTCTTATTTATCTCTTGTTATATTTTGAATCAATATTTCCTATTTTTCGTTTCTTTCCATATAAATTCTCTGTAAAAAGTTACTTCAAAAGGTCCCTTTAAGAATAATTAATTAACAGGGAACATTTAGCTTTTGCGTTTCCCAATTTTAAATAGTTTTCTTCACAAATTCCTCTTCACAGTATTGTAATAATTGCTCAATCGAATTGATGTGGAAAACGTACATCCCTGGATTAAGACAGAATGATGCAAACGAAAACATATTGAATATACTTGGTGAGGCCTTTCTCCTTTTGCCCTTACTATTTCCTAAATGTGTCGGAAAATTAAGATATGTTTTTTGCAGAGATCGATCATAGCTTTGGGGTCAAAATATGTAGCGAGACCAACCGATTTCTATTGCAAAATAACTATATTTTCTACTTTGTTATGTTTTGAATCACATTGGAGGGCACAAAGAAAATTTAGATACATAGAGTATTTTGTTAAGATAGTGAATTGCGTTTGATTCACACTGTATAAATCCGTTTATTCAATATTTACAGTAATTAGGCCACATTTCAGTTACAATTGATTTACACGCATAATATCCGCGGATCTCGTACTATCTTATACAACGAAAGACGATTGCCATTTTATCGTTTCCGAATGTCAAAAGTATGGATATATCAAAGAGAAAAAATCAAATCAAAGGATGTTTTTTGGCGATACTATCAATACTATTCTATTTTTTTAATCGATATTTAATTGATCAAATATTTCAATTATGATGAACGATGAAAAAGAGCAAAAGAATTAGTAAAAGAAGACGCATCAACTACTCGGCACAGCATACCGTGTTTTGTTTATGAAACGAATGAATACAATCAGGACAAAAGGGAACTATTTGGAAAGCACTGCTGCAGTGGATCGAGTCGGAAGAGAAGTATTACGTTACCTCCCCGTTACACTTCCTCTTGTTGACAACGACCTTGTTGACAGTTAAGTCGAAAGCTTTGCCTCGGAAATACCTAATGTTGATATTTTTCGAAAAGCACAGATAACGAGCAGAAGCAAAAGTACCACGTTAACAACAACATACGAAAATCGTAAATAAAGTTTGAATCATTGTAACATTGACAGTCACACAATGTTCAACTGAAAATAATAGTACCGAATTCGTCATGATGAATCACAAAGGAAACAAGAATTGAAAGTGGTTCGTTTCCGTGTGTTTCCATCTAAAGTGTGCGCAATAGAATTTTCGAAAAGTGGGAAGAATACATATTAATTGAAAAACATTTTCTTCGGTTGTTTTGTTTGTTTTCTATCCGTACATCTCAATAATTTGGGCGCCACCGGTGTCATTTATTAGCTTCGTCGTGATTGTTACTCCCAACACTCTTTACTTTTAGTAAACGTACACTGCATCACTTGACAAACTAAACAAAGGTTACGTGAATATCAATTAAAAATATAAGGGTCGGTTTGGGGGAACTTATAAAAGAAGTACTCCTACCCGTCCTCCAAAACATATTTTTGCGCATATTGTTTTCAACGTAATATCAAATGACATGGGAATTTTGACCTTCAATGTGGGCACTTCACTCTAACGTATAACCGCACGGTTCAAATTTTGACGTCAATTTGAATCTACGACTAGCGAAATCCTTAAATTTTAAAAAGGGAAACTAGGACACAAGGAGTGAAGTGCGGTCAAGGAAATCGTCTTACACCAGGAATTATCACGCAGGTTACTGCAGTCAAGAAACATCTCACGATCGTAATTCTTCTCTTCCTATACTTGAATATGTTTTTGGCTTCAACGGTTGGTAGTAGCCCGCTCTCGTAAGAAAATATTACTACTCCTAACGAGTTCCAAAAAGAACAGTCAAGCTCCCATTGGGGAAGAGCGATTATAATTCTGAGATCAAATAAATTCAGACAGGGTGAAATTCTAGACGTTTAAACAGAGAAGCAATTGCGAAAGAGAAGAGTGAATGTGAGCAAGGGTGAAAGGGAGTCAAAACTTGATAGAATTCCGCCGCAGGCGAGGACTAATCCCGCAAGGATTTACTGTGGTTACCACTCGATAATGATTCTGGATTTTCTCTTCGACGTACATTTGGTGTCAGGTACTGAGAGTACGATTGGTCGAGTGATTGGTCGAGTGA